GCGGCTCTTTAAGGACTGCGGCTTCGTGACGATATTCACGTTGCACTGCGGATCTTGCCAATGTTGACTTTATTACCGAGTTCGAAACAAACAAAAAGGGGGCGACTCTTCTTGTCATGTTGCTTGCCGACCTCTGCTCGAGACCGACTCGCCTCTACACCCTCTCCACGACCCCCCCTCCACTCCGCACTCCCACTGGCATTTGGGGTCAGAGGTCGCGTGTTGTCCACGTGTGCAGCTGTCAAGGGACGCTTCGCTCGTCGCGCCGAGAGTCCTGGCGGCGTGGGATTTGTCCGGTAGAATCAAGACCGCCTCGTTCCTCAGTTCACCGTCTGGGCCTCTCAACGTGCACTTCCTCGAGCTCGGCTCAAACAGAAACACAAAGATGTTTACTTGAACCCCGGTGTTGGTTGGCTGTGAATTCGGGCCGATACTTGTACTCACCTCGCTCAAATCTCACTGCAGTAGCAAATCTGGCAGTCACATTTCCATCTATGTATGTGCTGCATGTTGAACTTATTTCGCACCGTACGTAGCCAAACCGTGCTAATCGGAGGTGCGGGGGGGGGTGCAGCAAACTAAACACTCGGATCAGCTCTAAAGAAATTAGGTTTCAATCGAGATCTCGATGGGACATTCTTTTAGGCCAGTATCATGTTTTGCCATAAGTGGTTAATGCAGACGTAATTCCTTCGAACATCTTAACAACTATGTTTTATTGCCATAAAGGGTAAAACCTCTATTCTTATTTTTCATGATCTAGATCTCTGCACCTCTGAGCTCATTGTGCATTGGAATCGCCCCATCGCGACGGGGCTCTGCCTCTCCATACGCGTGGTTCTCGTTGGAGAATGGTTCGAGACGAGCCGTTGACGTTGCAGTGTTTTGGGGTCGTGGTGAGCGCTGCACTGCGCCACCCGAGTTCGATTCCCGCTCACGACAAATTAACAGCGGCAAATATTTGAACAGGTCCTGGGCCTCCCCTAGGTCAACTCAGCCTCAAATGAGTACCTGGTGGGAGTGTAAGCATCGCCACTGGGGAGACAAAGGCGGCCGGGCGTGGTGTTGGACACCCACCCCCTCGTGTACCGTTCCGGCCTTCATTGCTGCTTGCTAGCAGCACTTGCCCCAACAGTCTGCTAAGGCTACACGGGGGATCTTTGTCTTTGATGGGGCTTGAGTCGCGTGCGCGCCGCGCGCCTCGTTTACTTGGAAATTTCTCGCGCAGTTCGAGATCCGATCTGAGAGAGCAATTAGTGACGTCACAGGAATGCGAGGGGAGGGGGTCCAACTCGCCCCCATCCACCCCTCAGCCATCCACTCACCCCTCCCCCACCACCCACACCTCACCCATCCATCCACACCTCACCCATCCACTCACCCCTCCCCCACCACTCACACCTCACCCATCCATCCACACCTCACCCATCCACTCACCCCTCCCCTACCACCCACACCTCACCCATCCCACCCACACCGCACACGCAACACTGCACACACAAAGATAAAGATCCCCATATAGACACGTAGAAAGTAGGGCAAGTGCTGTTAGCGAGCACCTATTAAAGCCAACACGTCACACGAGTGGGCGGTATGGCCACGCACACTGCCGGTACTTGCCACACCGCACGATGTACTCATTTAAGGCCGAGTAGACTTGGCGGATGCCCAGGACCGGATCAGATATTGCTTGGTACTGATGCTATCGGCTTCTCAAATATAAACGTACAGCACACACACCCACCCACCCCCTATACACACCTACACACATTCTTGGACAAAGACAAAGGTCCCCCTTATAGCCTTCGGGGCAAGTACTGTTAGCGAGTGCCTATTAAGGCTCGCATTGTTCACAAAGGAGTGGGTGGTCAGAACCACGCCCGCCTGCTTTTGTCTCCTCAAAGCTGGTGATTACCCACCGCGCCAGGCACTCGTTTTAAGGCTGAGTCGGCCGAGGGGAGGCACGGGACCGGTCCAGATAATAATCATCCTTGGTGTTGGCGTGATCGGGAATCAAAATCGGAGCGCGCTGATCGCTCCACCACCGCTCCCCACACACGACAAAAACAGCCGCCATTCTCCACGAAGTAGCGGTGATGTCTCTACAGTGGTTGTGCCCGGCTAGGTGCACTTTGAGGCCACGTGACGTGTCGAAGACTCTCCGGCAGGAGGCCACGGGACAGACCCAGCAGGTGCCATGAGGTGACTGACTAAGACGACTGGCAGATGCACCAACTGTACCCCCAAATGTGCCAACTCGCTGCGTTTTAACCGCCCCGCGCTCCGCTCGTTGTTGTGAGCGTCGCTCCTCTGCCCTCCGCTGTTGTTGTTGGAGGGCGACTGCCTCCAACTGCCCAGCAGCAGCAGCGTCCTTCACGAACCTCCGTACACACACACACATTCATCAACACACACACACACACGCACCCAATTATCGACACACATTCTTCCAGACGGACACATAGGCAAGCGCCACCTCCACAGCTTTAACAGACTGTTGGGGTGAATGCTGTTTGCGAGCGCCTATTAAGGGCGGTAGGGCGCAGTACTAGGGAGTGGTGTGGGTTAGCACCACACCCGGACGCCTTTGTTTCTCCCCCGTCGTGATGCTTCGCGTTTCTGGTTTAATCAGAGAACCGCTGGCGAATAAAAACTCCCAACATTTGCGTCGCTGACAAAAATCAGACTTTTTGTTGGTTTATTCTCAAAAGTTTTTTTTTATTAAATGTATAATGTGCACATTACATTGGCGGCGCCTGCAACATTAAAAAAACGTGACAACGATTTTCCACTGCGGAGCAAAATCCAACTCGGGTTGGGTATAAAACACACCACACACACGACACACACACACGACACAACACACACGACGCAACACAATCGTCAACAACAACAACGCGTCTGTGTGTTATGGCATTAAGAGAAGACAAATCAATCATCAGCAACGATTCGGCAACGGCACTTAATTTATATGCCGTGGTTAGGCATCTCAATCCCTGCCTAAATTAAAACTAAAACCATAAACGATGTTTGTTTTACCGGGTAAGGCCCACTGAACTACGTAGCTAATTTTTATTCAGAAGCGACCTGGCCACAAGTGAAGTGGCTTATCGTCACGTTGACATTTATAGCAGGCGAGTACTCGAAAGGCGTGCTTCTAAATGTGGAGAGAATAAAATCCACGCGACCACGGGAGAGGGAGAGAAATGCAAACTCCAAATAACAGCAGCAGCAGGCGTCAGTGTCGGAATAGAACCCACGACCTCCTGCATACCAGGCGAGGTAGTTAACATCTCCTAGCCACCAGGACGTCTGCCCTTTGGATCCCAGGTCCCCCTTGCAGTGAGCGTGGATCTCAAAAGGAGATCTCACCTGGCTGAATAAGGGACGTTGAATTGAATCGGAACAACCGGCATAAAACGATACAGACCTGAAATAGTTTACTGAGAAAGTTGATAGGAAATTACAAAGACTCCACATGTAGCCTCAACAGACTTTTGGGGCAAGTGCTGTTAGCGAGCACCTATGAAGGCTGGCACGGCACACGAGGGAGTGGGTGGCCAACACCACGCCCGGTCGCCTTTGTCTCTGCAGTGGCGATGCTCACACACCGCACCAGCTACTCATTCGAGGCTGAGTCAACCTAGGGGAGGTCCAGGACCGGTTGAAATGATCGTCACCGATGTTGGCCGTGAGCGGGAAATGATCTCGGGGTGCTAACCACTGCACCACCGCTCCCCACGAGGATCCACACGAGCATTCATACCGTATAAACATCCACATACATTTATACACACAGCAAAACATGTAAGACAAAGATCCCCCGTGTAGCCGACACAGCCTGTTGAGGCAAGTGCTGTTCGCGAGCACCTTCTCGATGGCAGTGGTGTGGCCAACACCAATCCCAGGCCGCCTTTGTCTCCCCTATTTCTGACGTTTAAACACGACTCCCGGGTACCCATGTAAGGCTGAGTCGACCTAGGGGAGGCCCAAGGACCGGTTCAGTTATAACTCACTAACTGATATAATATGAATCGAACAGACGTCAGATCGCCAGATACTGGACACATCTCCCTCTGTGTGCCCTTCGGGCCTTAATAGGTGCTCGCAGACTGCCCTTGCGCCGACAGCGCGTGTGGGCTACACGGGGGACATCTGTGTAGCGGAGTGACAGTGAAGAATGTGTCCATGGGGAGGGGCAGTGGAATTCACAGTGACCTCAGTCCCTCTACAGTGAACATGAAGGCCGTGTCAAGGTGGTGAGGTGGAGGGGGGGCAGGAGGCTGATTGTCCACGAGTCCTCCATGTCACATTCCCCGTGCTGTCCTCGGCTCTGCAAGCTACACCCTCCTCCCCCCTCTCTCTTTTTGGGGTCCCATCACCACCAACATCATCATCATCGTCGTCGTCTTCGTTGTTGTCTTCGTCGTCGTCATCATCGTCGTCACCAGCTGCATCTTCACGGTAGGATTGAGGAGCAGGCGTGAGCATCTTCCTCGCAGGCATCTTCATCATCTCGTTCACCACCATTGTCACCATCATCATCATCACCACCGTCTCCATAACCACAGGCACCACCACCATCATCATCATCACAACCACCATCATTGTCACCGCCGTCATCTTCACGAGGGGATGAGAATCAGGGCTGACCGTCTTGATCACGAACATCATCACCAACATCACCATCATCATCATCCCTGAGAGAGTCAGAGCAGCAGCAGTCAAGCAGCTCATGACCCCTGCGGGAGGGGGGGCAGTGTGGGGTTGGGGGTCAGTGTGGGGTGGGGGTCCGTGGGGGGTGGGGGTCAGTGTGGGGTGGGGGTCAGTGGGGGATGGGGGTCAGTGTGGGATGGGGGTCAGTGTGGAGTGGGGGGCAGTGTGGAATGGGGGTCAGTGGGGGGTGGGGGCAGTGTGGAATGGGGGTCAGTGGGGGGTGGGGGTCAGTGGGGGGTGGGGGTCAGTGTGGGGTGGGGGTCAGTGGGGGGTGGGGGGTCAGTGTGGGGTCGCCCGCTCAGCTCCCGCACGCGGCCTCGCAGCGCGTGGAGCCGCGCGCGGAGTCGCCCTCGCTCGGCTCGCAGGCGGCGCTCGCGGGCGCCCAACTCGCGCGCCGTCTCGGCCGCCCGCTCCAGGATGTGCACCTTGGCGGCGCGGGACGCGAGCTCGGGCAGCTGCGCCCGCAGCGCCGCGAAGCTCTGCCGCAGGTCGTCGCGGCGCCTCCGCTCCAGGATGTTGTGCGCGCGCCGTCGCTCGCACGGCTCGTCCGAGTCGGAGGCGGCGCCCGGAGACCTGCCCGAGGCGGCGCGGGCCCCGGGCTCCGTGTCCCCGTGCGGGGCCGCAGGCCTGCGGGGCCGCGGGGCGCCCCTCGGGCCTTCGCGCGGGGAGGCCGCCGCGTAGTTGTGCTGCTGGCGGTGCAGGGATGACGAGGTGGACGAGGTGGACGAGGTGGGGAGAGCGGGGCGGTGCCGAGCTCCGGTCGGTCGAGGCGCACGCACCGTGACTACGTCGATCTCCTCCTCCTCCTCTCCCTCCTCCTCGTTGTCCTCGTTGTCCTCGTTGTCCTCGTCAGCATCGTCGTCGTCATCGCCGTCGTTGCCCTCGCGTCCCCCTCCCTCGCTGTCTGTGGAGCGGGGAGAGCAGCAGGGGATGAGCACCACCAGCCCCCCTCCCATTCACCCGGCTCTGCCGCACCCAGTCCTCACAGCCCCCCACTAACTCACCCCCACGGAAATCCAGACCCCCACTTACCCACCTCCCCCTAAACACAGCCACCTCACTCGCCAAGCTTCCCACTCATCCAACCCCCCCCCCTCCCCAACTAACTCAGCCCCCCTACTCACTCAATATCCCCGCTCACCAGGGCCCCCCCCCCCCCGCCACCACTCACCCAGCCCTCCTCCCCCACTCACCCCACTCCCCCCAACTCACCAGATTCGCTACTCAAGTCGCTCTCGCCCTCCGACGCCGTCTTCCTCCTCCCGCGCCTCTCGCGGTGGGGAGACGCGGGGCCCCGGCTCCACTGCTGCTGCGGCGGCACCCCGCCGAGGAGGAGCTCTGCTCCGGGGGCCCCTCCCCCCTGCAGCTGCTCACCCCCCGCATCGCCCCCCCCGGACGCCGCCCTGAGCACGCAGCTGTCCCACAGCGCGGCGAGGCGCTCCGAAACGAACGCTTCCAGCCGCCACTTGGCAGCCCCGCCGCTCCACATGCAGTCTCGCAAAACCACGGGGGGGCGGCCCCCCGCTTTCTCCCCCAGCTCCTCGGCCTGCTCCTCGCACCCCCACGTTGTATCCACGAGCCCCCCCCACGCCTCCTCCACCTCATGCTCATCCAGCTGCTGCTGCTGCTGATGGCGGTGCTGCTGCTGGTGCTGGTGATGCGAGGAGTCGGCGTCCCGGCTGGGGGAGCGCGGAGGAGTTGGCAGCAGCTGGAACTTGTCCCAAATGTCCTCGCTCAGCGCCGTGCTCTGATGCTGCTGGAGGGGGGCCCCCGCGAGGGAGCCCCCCATCTCGGGGTCCCAGCAGAAGAAGGAGGAGCAGGCGGAGAGGTCGTGGGTGGACATGGCGGGCCGCTCCTACCTCCCTCCACGCGCGTCCTGCGGGGTGATGGACGGTGGCGATGGGGGGGGGATGGAAGGGGTGATGGTGGGTGGTGGTGATGGAGGTGGTCGTAGTGGGTGGTGATGGTGGTGGTGGTGATGGAGGTGGTCGTAGTGGGTGGTTGTGGTGGGTGGTGGTGGTGGTGGGTGGTGGTCGTAGTGGGTGGTGATGGTGGGTGGTGATGGAGGTGGTCGTAGTGGGTGGTGGTGGTGGTGATGGATTACATGAGCACATGGCCACACGTCACATCTCGGATTAGCACGGTTGGCTACGTACGGTACGAAAAAAGTTCAACAACCACGCATGCGTCACGTTATGGAGTGGCGGGACGAGCCCACGCCATCCACACGCTACTGCGTGTTGACATTCCCACACACTCTCTATACATCGCACCAGCCACCCGGTACTGATTTGAGGCTGAGTCGACCTAGGCGAGGCCCAGAACCGGTTCAGAAAATCGCCACCGGTGTTGGTGGCCGTGAGCAGGAATCGAACTCGGGTCACCGGGTTCGTAGCAAAGCGAGAGAACCGCGGCACAACAATACAAATATCCCCCGTGTAGCCTTAACAGACTGTAGGGGCAAGTGCTGTTAGCGAGCACCTATGAAGGCCAGAACGGCACACAAGAGGGTGGGTGGCCAGCACCACGCCTGGCCCCTCTGTCTCCCTACTGGTGCTGCTTACGCACACTACAACAATCGACATTCGCCACTAAGTGGCGGTGATGTCACCACGGTGCTTGTGCCAGGCTATGTGCACTTTAAGGCCACGTGAAGTGTCGAACGCCCGCTGGTAAGAGGTCACGGAACGGTACAGACCCAGCAGGTGCCATGGGTTGACCGAGATGACTGGCTGATGCACCACCTGTGCCCCCCGACTGTGCCAACTTGCTGTGCTTTAGCCGCCCGGCGCTCTGCTCGTTGTTGTGAGCGCACACGACACGCACAAAGACTCACGGCGTTCTCTTCGCGGTGCCTCGTAGCCGGCTCCGATCCTTCAGCTCCGAGCTCCTCCTGCGGGCAGCAGTGGCGGCATCCCCCGCGTCCCGTGCGCCACCTGCAGTTTGTGTCTCGTAGACTTTGTGTGTGTGTAGACTTTGTGTGTCTAGTAGACTGTGTGTATGTCGTGGACTTTGTGTGTGTGTGTGTGTAGACTTTGTGTGTGTAGACTTTGTGTGTGTGTAGACTTTGTGTGTCTCGTAGACTGTGTGTGTGTCGTGGACTTTGTGTGTGTGTAGACTTTGTGTGCGTGTGTAGACTGTGTGTGTGTAGACTGTGTGTGTGTAGACTTTGTGTGTGTGTAGACTTTGTGTGTGTGTAGACTTTGTGTGTGTGTAGACTGTGTGTGTGTAGACGTAATCTGTCTTGTGTTTCTCCGTCTACCTCTGTGGGTCTCTCTCTGCGCGTTTCTATACGCGTCTATGTATCTCTGTATACGTTTCTGTGTGTCTCTATGTGGCTATGTATATCCCTGAATCTGTGTGTATTTTTGCATCTCACTGCGTGTATCTTCGTATACGTCCCTGTCCGTATGTCTGTCTCGGTGTGTGTATCTCTATCTGTGTGTGTATCTCTATCTGTGTGTATGTGTCTACGTCTCTCTGCGTGTCTCTATTGAATGAGCGCGCGGGACTCGACGCGACACGGAGCCACGCGCGACCCCGACTGAGCGATCCGACCGGGTGCACGTGGAGGTGATGGTGGGGGTAAGGGTGGGGGCGGGGGCGAGGGTGGGTGGGGGGGCCCCACCCCCGCCCTCCCCCCCGGATCCCGCACCTCAACCCCACTATCTCCCCCCCCCCTCCATACCATACTGGCGGTTCCGTCTCATTTCACGCAGTGTTCACTCACTAATGCTGCTGGTCACAACTCACTCATCTATTCGCTCTCAACCACCCACTCACTCATGTATTCGCTCACTCACTCAACCACCCACCCCACTCACTCATCTATTCGCTCGCTCACTCACTCAACCACCCACTCACTCAACCACCCACTCACTCATCTATTCGCTCACTCACTCACTCAAGCACCCACTCACTCATGTATTCGCTCACTCACCCACTCAACCACCCACCCACTCACTCGTCTATTCGCTCACTCACTCACTCAACCAACCACCCACTCTCTCATCTATTCGCTCAACCACCCACTCTCATCTATTCGCTCACTCACTCACTCAACCACCCACCCACTCATCTATTCGTTCACTCACTCAACCACCCACTCACTCATCTATTCACTCACTCACTCAACCACCCACTCACTCATCTATTCGCTCTCAACCACCCACCTATTCGCTCACTCAACCACCCACACTCCCTTACTCACATACGGTACTCACCCACCCACTCAATCACACACAGACTCACCCATTCACACGCTTATCAAATCCAGCATCCACTCTCTCACACACTCGCCCACTCAACCATCTACTCGCCCGCCCACCACACGCCAGGTCACAACACGTCTTGCTGCTTCTTCCCTAGCACTGCTCTACTTTGGATTTCCCTCTCAATGCCTCTTTAACAACGCTGATAGTGCTGCTTGTTGCTGGCCCCTTGTCAGCGCCGATGTTTAAGTGTAAACACCGCGCAAGGTCCTCGCTTTGAGGCCGAGTCGTGATATCACTCCCCCCCCACTCACTCTACTGATGGTCCACGTGGTTGGGAATCAAACTCAGGTGGCCGGGTTCGTATCCGACCGCGCTGACCACTGCCCCCACCATCCACAACTCCCGTGCAGCCTGCACGCGCTGTCAGGGTCAAGTGCTGTTAGCGAGCACCTAAGGGCAATACGAAACACTAGCGCCTTTGTCTCCCCAGCGGTGATTGTTGCACTGACTAGGTGCTCATTTAAGGCCGAGTCTACCTCGGGGAGGGACACACAGAGACCGCGTGGACGCTGCACGCTGTACGAGCTGTGCAACCGAATCCACACGTTGGTCACCCCAGTAAACACGGCACACTGGTCCAACGTTGGTCCAACTATTCCAACCACGTGCAAGCGTTTGGCCCAAAGTCGGCACATTGTTGGCTCAGTCGACCTCGGGGCACACACGGAGACAGAGAGACACACAGACACAGAGAAATACACCGAGGCAGAGAGACACACAGACACAGAGAAAGACAGAGACACACAGACAAAAAGATACAGAGGCAGCCACAGAGACACAAGACGAGGCACTCCCGTATAGCATTTACAGACTTTTGGGGGCAAGTGCTTTTAGTTGAGTACGTAGCACCTATGAAGACCAGAACAGTACACGTAGCGGTGGGATGGCCAGCACCACGCCCGGCCGCCTTTGTCTCCCGAGTGGCGATGTTCACACATCACACCAGACAGAGATCGCCCGTATAGCATTTAGAGACTTTTGGGGGCAAGTGCTTTTAGTTGAGTACGTAGCGCCTATGAGGACAGGAACGGCACACGTGGGGGGGGGGGGGGGGGTGACCAGAGAGAGAGAGTGACACAGACGCTGCGGCCAGGCCACGTGGTTCGCACACCGCTCGGACACGTCCCAGGTGGACACGGAGGACACGGATCGTGACGTTCACGCGCTTTATACACTAACGACGCACGCGCAGGCAGGACCCCAACATTACCGCCATCGCCATCATCGCCATCATCATCAGTAGTCTTGACATTTTCATCGCGCACCGCAATTAAATCCCACCCCCCCCCCCTGGTAGTTAACCTGACACATTTGTGTGGGGGGGGGGGGTCCTAGTTATCTAACAATTGAGCCCCCCACCCCCCCCCCCCCTCTTACAGCACCAGTGATCCCAGTTCGATAAAAAAAAAATTGAAACGTAAAAAAAAAAAATTTGCATCGTATTTACCGACTCCTTTGTATCGTTTTCCCGTTTGAACTGGCCTCGTCTGTATTGCTTCTTCAAAGTTGTTGGTGTTGTTGTTATTAATCAGCTTGCACCATCTGTATCGTTTGTTGCGTCTCGTTTGTTCTGTTTGGTCAGTCACGTCTCGTCGGTTCGGACCGCTCAGCCTAAAAAGGGACCATTTGCAAAAATCGAAAACGAAAAAGATTTTGGTTCATACACACAAACACGTGCGCGCGAGATTGGACGGGTGCATCACGAGGATTAATCATCATCACCATCATCGATTAATCGTTTCTGCCGACCCGGTGGGAACCCAAAGAAAAAAATCCGCGGAAGTTCTCGCGTCGCCTATCAACGTTAACCAATTTTTTTTTGTGGGAAGAGTTCAAATGCCGGTCATCCTTGAAACTAACCCATCTTCAAACGCGCTGCCGCTACGGTGATTAAGCTGCTCCTCGCTCGTGGGAGAGTTGGTGGCATGAGTGGCCACGGCAAACGCAATCATGAACGGAAGTAATCAGGCGGCGTTCTGCCACAACGAACACGCACAACACACGCGTGCACACCGACGGCGAACGTGTTCAGTTTAACGCGTGTGAGGCTTTCGCGACCAATATTATTCATAATCAACGTTTTTGGGTTAGATCGCGTTATTTATGTGTCGTAACCCTCCACCACCCGACACGGCCAATCAGCAAAAAAAGTGTCACGTTGACAAAAGACAAATAGTTCACTGCTTTAGCCCACCGGTGTGTTGAAGCGTGAAACCACAACATTTACAATTTTTGAGTACGACGTTTCGCTGGTAATTGCATCCAGCATCATCGGGCAATTCGCCATTCAAATGTTGTGCTTTCACGCTTCAACACACCGGTGGGCTAAAGCAGAGAACTATTTGTCTTTTGTCAACGTGACACTTTTGTTGCTGATTGGCCGTGTCGGGTGGTGGAGGCCGTGTTCACCCCGACTCTGTGGAGGAAAACGACATTCGAATCCAAGCGCGCGTTCTTCATCGCACCCCGCTACCCTGGCTAATGGGAATATTGGCCACAAATTAAATTGTTACACGCTGCACGCGCCAGATGATTGATAAAAGCGTCGTCCGCGTGGCGTGCAGAGACCCAGCTGTAGATGGTGCGTACTCTGCAGAAGGGCCATTGCCCAAAACGTCGGTTCTATTTTTCCCTTTTAAGGTGACATCGGGCAACGAATTTATTTGTTGTTTGACTCTTGTGGGCTGGCGTGGGACGTGTTTACCAAGCATCGGGCTCGTGCAGCGCGTATCCAATCATCTTGGACGGAGGTTTGGGATGCGTTGGGCAGGGCGGGTGGTCATTCAGAGGGCTACGCGATTCGACTTTGTCAATCACAGCGCAGACCCAACTATTATGTATCATTATTCACCTCGTTTAACCAGCACAGGCTCACTGGGTCATCCCATGACTCTTTGTTAGCAGGATCCTGCCACGTTATCGCAGACGGGGGGTGTGATTGACTCTTTACTTGCTGTGTCCTTAACACATAATTGAGTCGTTCGATGGGTAATTTGCTTTTGTTAGGTTAATTTTGGCACAGTATGGATGATCACGATGTCGGCAACGCGATTTGCCCGACTCGCACGAACAGCTTTGTGCAGGCGATGGTGAGGATGTTGATCCCGATGATGACGGTGATCACGATGATGATGGTGATCACGATGACAGTGATCATGATGATGTTGATTACGAGGACCGCGATCACAATGACGTTGATAATCATCACTGATCACAATCACTGATGACGATGATGTTGGGAATGTGTTTGATCGCGTTCGTGGTGACGCCAGGAGCTGCACAACCGCGCCATCAGCCGCTCGCTGTGCGGACACCGTGCACTGTACACAGCACGCACTGTACACACTGTACACATCATGCACTGTACACACCGTGCACTGTACGCCGCCGCATAACGCACTGTACAGTGCGTGCACCGCACTGTACAGTGCGTGCACCGCACCGACTGTACACCGCGTACACTGTACACCGCATGCACTGCACATGCTGCTGCGTGTACAGCTGCACGGTGTACAGCTGCACATTGTGGATGCTGTGTGTACACTGCACATCGTGGGTGCTGTGTGTACACTGCACATTGTGGATGCTGTGTGTACACTGCACATTGTGGGTGCTGTGTGTACACTGCACATCGTGGGTGCTGTGTGTACACTGCACATCGTGGGTGCTGTGTGTACACTGCACATTGTGGATGCTGTGTGTACACTGCACATTGTGGGTGCTGTGTGTACACTGCACATCGTGGGTGCTGTGTGTACACTGCACATCGTGGGTGCTGTGTGTACACTGCACATTGTGGATGCTGTGTGTACAGCTGCCCATTGTGGGTGCTGTGTGTACAGCTGCACATTGTGGATGCTGTGTGTACAGCTGCCCATTGTGGGTGCTGTGTGTACAGCTGCACATTGTGGATGCTGTGTGTACAGCTGCCCATTGTGGGTGCTGTGTGTACAGCTGCACAATGTGGATGCTGTGTGTACACTGCACATTGTGGATGCTGTGTGTACAGCTGCCCATTGTGGGTGCTGTGTGTACAGCTGCACAATGTGGATGCTGTGTGTACACTGCACATCGTGGGTGCTGTGTGTACAGCTGCACAATGTGGATGCTGTGTGTACACTGCACATTGTGGATGCTGTGTGTACAGCTGCCCATTGTGGGTGCTGTGTGTACAGCTGCACATTGTGGATGCTGTGTGTACAGCTGCACATTGTGGATGCTGTGTGTACAGCTGCACATTGTGGATGCTGTGTGTACAGCTGCACATTGTGGATGCTGTGTGTACACTGCACATCGTGGGTGCTGTGTGTACAGCTGCCCATCGTGGGTGCTGTGTGTACACTGCACAATGTGGATGCTGTGTGTACACTGCACATCGTGGGTGCTGTGTGTACAGCTGCCCATTGTGGGTGCTGTGTGTACAGCTGCCCATTGTGGGTGCTGTGTGTACAGCTGCACAATGTGGATGCTGTGTGTACAGCTGCACAATGTGGGTGCTGTGTGTACACTGCACATTGTGGATGCTGTGTGTACAGCTGCACAATGTGGATGCTGTGTGTACAGCTGCACAATGTGGGTGCTGTGTGTACACTGCACATTGTGGATGCTGTGTGTACAGCTGCACAATGTGGGTGCTGTGTGTACACTGCACATTGTGGATGCTGTGTGTACAGCTGCACAATGTGGATGCTGTGTGTACACTGCACATTGTGGATGCTGTGTGTACAGCTGCACAATGTGGGTGCTGTGTGTACAGCTGCACAATGTGGGTGCTGTGTGTACACTGCACATTGTGGATGCTGTGTGTACAGCTGCACATTGTGGGTGCTGTGTGTACAGCTGCACAATGTGGGTGCTGTGTGTACACTGCACGGTGTGGGTGCTGTGTGTACAGCTGCACATCGTGGGTGCTGTGTGTACAGCTGCACATTGTGGATGCTGTGTGTACAGCTGCACATCGTGGGTGCTGTGTGTACAGCTGCACATTGTGGGTGCTGTGTGTACACTGCACATTGTGGATGCTGTGTGTACAGCTGCACATCGTGGGTGCTGTGTGTACAGCTGCACATCGTGGGTGCTGTGTGTACAGCTGCACATTGTGGATGCTGTGTGTACAGCTGCACATCGTGGGTGCTGTGTGTACAGCTGCACATTGTGGGTGCTGTGTGTACAGCTGCACATCGTGGGTGCTGTGTGTACAGCTGCACATCGTGGGTGCTGTGTGTACAGCTGCACATTGTGGGTGCTGTGTGTACAGCTGCACATCGTGGGTGCTGTGTGTACAGCTGCACATTGTGGGTGCTGTGTGTACAGCTGCACATCGTGGGTGCTGTGTGTACAGCTGCACATCGTGGGTGCTGTGTGTACAGCTGCACATTGTGGGTGCTGTGTGTACAGCTGCACATCGTGGGTGCTGTGTGTACAGCTGCACATTGTGGATGCTGTGTGTACAGCTGCACATCGTGGGTGCTGTGTGTACAGCTGCACATGGCGCACCGAGAACGCGCGACTCCGATTCGGGAGCGTTGTTGTCATGCGCGGGCACTGTGGAGATTTAGGCGCAATCCCACGAAAATCCATTCTGGACCCCGCATCAGCTTCGCGTGTACGAGGCTCGGTGCGTTGTTTAGTGAGCTGGTTGTAAATTTCGTCTATCTGGCGACACCTAGCGACCGCTTTGAGGATATTTGGGCGACTTTTCGCCTTTGAGGAGTTTGCAACACCGACTTTTGTTTTCCTCTCGCCACCGCACGGGTCTAAATGTGTCCACAGGACGCGGGGTCAGGGTCAGAGCAAGGGTCAGAGTCAGTGTCACAGCCAGGGTCAGGGCCAGTGTTAGAGCAAAGGTTAAGGTCACAGCCAAGGTCACGTCCAGGACCAGCGATAGAGCAATGAATAAGGTCACCGCCAAGGTCGCTGCCAGGGTCAGGGCTAGTGTTAGAGCCAAGGTTAAGGTCACAGCCAAGGTCACGGCCAGGGTCAGTGTCACAGCCAGGGTCAGGGTCAGAGCCAATGTCAGTGTTACAGCCAAGGTCAGAGCCAGGGTCATGGCCAGTTTTAGAACCAGGCTTTGTGTTGGAGGCAGGGTCAGGGTTAACCCGATGTCAAAGGATGCTTTGTTGTATTCTTTAAATGTTGCACAAAATGTCGCATGTTAATCGTTGCAGTTGCATGTTACCGAGGCAATGAGCTCAATGGTGGCCCAGTGATTCTTAATAAATTATAAAGTTCAGGCCACGAGGCCCAACCCTCGCCCTCCTCTCTTGCCTGAGCGACCCAGCTAAGGCAACCCGGCAGAGGATCTAGGCAAGCAAAGGCGTCTTCTCGGCCTATGACTAAAAACAAAACAATCCGGTATTTTACATAAGCCATTAAAGGTGCAAATAAAGGCAGTAACATTTATATATAAAACATAATACTTAAAGTCCTGTATTACTATAAAACTGTCACGCATAAAAAAATGTTGCCACTTGGGGAAATGACCGTCACCTGAAGCGCGGTGCGAGGTTGTGCAACGGCAACATTCGAAAAGAGCAACACAGAAATCGTGGTTGCTCGCAACGTGTCTGCAGGGAAAGTCGCACCAACAGCTACGTGGGGGGGTCCTGTACGGAGATCAAACGTCCCGCTTTGGCCAGAAAAGTCCTGGTGGTGCCAGAAAGTCCTGGTGGTGCCAAAAAGTATGTCCCAACACCCAACCCCCCTAAGCTATTCTGGCTGCCAGTTGAAATATTCTGGTCTCGTGCTCGAGAGCAAACGCCGAGTAGTGAGTGAGTGGACGTGATGGGAGTCGATATACCGCCAAGTTGGTAACTTTGCAACGTGAGGGTAATGCTGTGGGTGGAGCAGGTGGAGCTGCCTTGGAAACAGGCTCCCAGCGGTCTGGCTGCCTCTTTGGTTGGGTGGGGATGGCACCACGGAGAGGAAACTTGACCGTAAACTCCAGCACCCAAAAAATTAGATTGCCATACCTTGCCAGCGGTTTATGAGCCGACTGGCCAACCAAATGCTAACCATTAACCGTAACCAGCTAGTATGTCAAATTAGTACGAGCAATAACCCCTTACCAGCCACTACCGCTAGTCCTCCCACAGACTCCAACTCTTAACAGACCACCAGCTCCTCGTACAAACACGGTCACTGTCCATAACTAGCTAACTAGCCACTCCGGCAGATCAAAAACATCCCAAGGGGGGATGGCAGTTTAAAAATGTCAAGCTGTTTAAACAGGGCCCGACATTAATAACCACCCCTCCCCCAAAATAATACATATTTGGGGTCTCAAAGGAGGGGGGGGGGGAGATTAACCCCCATTGCCCCCCACTAACCACTAGCCCTCTCACTAACCTAACCTCACCATAAATATACCAACCCTGCCAAATCACTCTAATTCTATGTAACTAGCCAACCAGCTAGCCACGAGTATTACCCCTCACACCAACCTTAACCCTAAACCGCAAATTTTCCTTTCCACCGTTTGTTCCTTCGTCACTATCGGCGATGACTGCGTCTCCCTGCGGTGGCGATGGCCATGGGGCTGGCCTCTGTGTGCGAACAGTCACCGTCTCTACGCGCCGGAGGCATGCAACACAGACGATACAAAAACTCGCGTTTGGTCCATGGGTCACAGCCACACTCACACAGACACGGGCACGCACACGGACGGACACAGGGATGGACACGGGAGCCGCGCTTGCCGCGCACACCACACGGTTGCGATTAGTCACAGGCAGGGCCGTCCATGGGGAGGGGGGGCGGGTTTAACCATACCGTGTGGGCCCCCGACGCCTTCAAACTAAACCGGAATTATTACATCTGACACTGTGACATCGAAGCGCGGAGCCCCCCCTCCCAACCCCCAAAGCGCGGGACCTGGGGCGGTCGCCCCGATTCGCCGTACCCTAGGGACGGCTCTGGTCGCCGGACACAGGAGGTCGTGTGTGTGTTGACCCCTGACCCCTCATGTTATTGCTACACCTGTGGGGGGGGACACATGGGGCAGAGTGAAGTGGGGGGGGAGGGGGGTCATTGGTGGTTCTTGTACGCCCCGAATCCCAGCCGCCCCTCTTCTCACGGCGTCATAGGCTCACTTACCAACGGGCCCTGTTCACGGATCCACATACGTCACTGAAAACACAGCAAGGTGGGGCAGCGCTCGTATAAACTACAATATCATGCAGCTCCATCCACGTGGGACAGCCGCGCCTGCCTGTAGCGTCAAGGGCACAGGATTAAAGGCGCAGGCCCTGCAATTGTTTGCTCACGCCACTGCTCGCAGAAGGATCTCCACTACAGAGAGCTCTCGAAGAGTGATATTTGGCCTACTCTTCCAGCCTGGCCAGACTTCTTGGAAGAGGTGTGTACCCATCACCACGTGCGACCTGTGGCGCAGAATGTCCCGTGGATGTTCAATGATCGCCCCCTGTGTGTCGATCGCAGGACACAGGGGCGGCTGTCCCACAGGATATGGATGTGTTTCGCTCCCCGTTGGCTCAAATTCCGTACCATAAGTCGTACCGAGGGCATCGCGTCCGCTCACGAACGTCGCTACGTTCCGCTAGCCGCGGCTTAAAATTAAAATAATTCCGTCACGAATTTCAACGTTCGGCCTCGACTGCAGTGACCAGCGATCTCTCTCGCACGCGTGCGCAGAGACACACGCGCACGCACGCGCGCACACACACACACAAACGGTCAGCCCACCAATAAAATAACATCACAACTCGTCAAACACCCATCCACCCGCCCGCCAGCTCCCCCATCCTCCCACCAAACCACCACCCCCCTTGTCCCCGAGTCCCTGAGACCCCGGGTGGGGGGCCAAGGGAGTGACTCTCTTCTCCCGTCCAAACCCCGTTGGGTTGGGGCGAGGGCCCGGCCTGGTTGCAGTGTGGCCCCAGGATAGGCCCAGGGTGGCTCGACGTGGCTTGGCGTCGTCACTGCAGCATGTTCTTTATCTGTTTGCACGACGTCTCGTCGTTGATATGTCGTGTCGTGTACCTTGGGAGAAACGACAAAAGAGATGCTCAGCTGTTGGCACCACTGGATGTGAATACAGGATTCAGACACCTCTGGTTATTGTATTTACCGTATGGAGCCAACCGTGCTAAATCGGGGGTGTGGGGGGAAGGACAACAAACTAAATCGGAATAAAAAATGTATTCTCAATCGTAATGAGTTAATGTTCTCAGCCCAATCACCAACGACTCACAAAGTGACCTGTAGAGACTCACACAGACTGGGCTGTCATGAAACCGGATTCGCAAGTGTTAGTTGCTCGTCCCAGCCCAGGCACCAGTGACTGCACAACAACATCTCATTATGTTCAATTAAGACTTTTTATTTAATAATAACGATCGCACTGCACATCCTTTGGAATTGACGGTCCCTCTAGCCAGCCAGCAAAACTAAAAAAAAAATCTACATCCTTTTTAAAATCCACTGCTGGATGAAGGCCTTTCCAGGATGGATGCGCCTCGCTCCCTGTGTCGGTCAAGGGGGTTGTTTCACGATACCTCAACACGGTGGTCCGTGCGGATTGGGACCAATTCAGATGTCCTTCACCACAGACGTCCATGGTCAGGAATCAAACCAAGGTTGTTGGATTCATAAGCACAGCGCGCTAACCACTGAGTCACCACTCCACCGTTGTTACCCAAGTTGTTACCTGAGTGCGTTCAGAAGCCCCTCCACACTCGCCTGGGGCTGCTCCTTCAGCACCTTAATGCAGCCCTTCATCTGTGGACAGCACGCACAGCACACACAGTACAGGCATTACATGGAGCACACACAATGCACACAGCACACACCTTACACAGAGCACATACATTACATACGCCACACAGTACACACAGCACAGCATGTAAAGCACACGTTACATTTAGTATACAAATGTAGAGCACAGACAGCACGCACAGTAAACAGTGGCATACAGCACAGGCCACATGTAGAGCACATGCACCTCGCCCTCGAGGAACACTGGAGCCTCGTTAAAGATCCGACGGCCGATCAGCAGCCTCCTCCTGTCCGGGTGGCCGTGGGTGATTCTAAACCTGCGCCAGGGATTCCCACGGCCCACCTGGACTCTATCCGATGACGCACGAGTGGCGACGCGTGTATATTGTTGTACGTATGTTGAACTTCTTTCGCACCGCGCGTACGCAGCCAGCCGTGCTAATCGGAGGCGCGACGATTGCAAGACGACGATGACCACTCACTCCAGCTGCGCAGGCGAAACACCGCGGCGCGAAGAGTCGCCATTCAGATTTCACTTCGTCTTCCCGGCGGGATGACACAAACGTTCGATCCGCTTCCGATGATGTCATGTTCTTTGACTGGCTCGTTAAACGCGATCTCACCACCCATCATCTTCTGTCGCTATTTCCACACGACAGGAGACGACCATCCCCCCCCACCCCGTCTCCACTCACGTCCAGCTTGGAGGTCTTGGCGAAGGCCCCGACTGGGTGGACGTGGTCGTAGAGGATGATGAGGCCCACCATGACACGCAGGCAGAAGAGCATCGAATCCTCGCTGCCAAACCGACACCGGTACTCCCTGTGGAAGATCCACCACCACAACCACACAAAACAACCTACTTGCTGCACTGCCCAGCTTACTACACGAGCCTCTGGCCGTGCGTTGTATTGTGGCTGGGCGTGGTTGTGGTGGTGTTGTGCTGTTTAAGTTGTGTTGTGCTGGTCTGATGGTGTTGTGGTGATGTTGTTATGGTGGTTAAGTTGTGTTGTGGTTGTAGTGGTTGTGTGGTTGTTGTTGCAATAGCAAGTGGAAGTTCACGGCGTATCCAGCATGGCGCCTAGCTCAGGATCGCCATGGTGGTGTAGTGTTTCCGTGTTGTTGTTTACTAGTATTGTTGTGGTGTGGTGTTGTTGTTTACTAGTATTGTTGTGGTGGTGGTGGGCCCGCTCACAGCGTGTCCAGCATAGCCTTGCACAGGCCTGCCATGGTGGTGTAGTGTTGTTGTTGTGAACTAGAATTGTTGTGGTGTAGTTGTGTAGTCGTATTGTTGTGGTGTGGTGTTGTTGTGTACTAGTATTGTTGTGGTCTTGTTGTGTACTAGTATTGTTGTGGTATAGTGTTGTTGTGTACTAATATTGTTCTTGTCTCGGTGTTGTTGTTGTGGTGGTGGTTGTGAGCTCACGGCGTGTCCAGCATGGCCTTGCACAGGCTCGCCATGGTGCTCAGGCAGTCCGTCGTGTTCTCCAGAGGCACCACCGACTCGTGCTGCACCAACAACCCCCACCCCCAATCCGTGCATTACAAACAAGACCAAGGCTCAACACTGCAATTCATTATCTCGTCGCATAGAAATGTATACACTCTGTAGAGCAGCGTTCTTCATTGCAAGGCCCGTGGGCCACTGGCGGCCCCTGATGGCCTTTGATGCGGCCCCCGACAATACAGAACGAGTGAATAACCCCCCCACTATCATCATCGTCGTCGACGTGCTGCTGTCAACCCCCAATGGTTTCAACTGTGTGGCGACCCTCACACTGGCGATGTCTTATCGGCGAAAGTGCCCCCCGCCCCCCTCTGAAAATTAGTGAAGAACACTGCCGTAGTAGTGCCTTATTGCAAGGCGCGTAACAACAATTAGAAAATTACACGTAAGATGATAGTGGTTGAGATATTTAAGAGTAGTGGGGTTGTTGTTGGTGGTGTAGTTTTGGTGACAGAAACAGGCGGGAGTGGTTGAGGAGGGGTTGAGGTAGGCCTGGTCGTGGCTGGGGGAGAATGTTGGCCTACTCTTCCACGCAGGGCCCGACGCCCTAAACAAAAATGGCTTGCTTGCGGTTCTCAAGGGCTCTGTTTTCTAGCAGTGCCACCGTAATTCTGGACTGTAGCGCCGTTTCCACTTCCCGTTTTTGTGCAAGTACGACTGAAAAAAATACCAAGCGAACGTGGAACCTTGGGGCCCAATGTTGGCCCAACGTTGGTTCTGACCACGTGCCAACCTTGGCTCAACGTTGGCTCAACGTTGGCACGTTTACTGGAGTGCAGTTAAAATGAAGTTCAGTGCAGTTGCATAGGTTCAGCTCCTGCAGCTGAGTTGTCTCCCTCGTGTTCTTGTACATATAATAGTAAAATCATAAACTGCATTTGCATCACCATTTCTAAGGTTAATAAATAGCTCAGTGGCATTGAATTATCCAGTTTCGTTGTGATCTCTATTTTTGAATCAAAGCACACACAATAAATTGTCAACGTACCTTGAACCGTACGTAGCTGACTGTACCAATCGGTGGTGCTAATATGTTGTACACGTCTAAGCGTGTAAAACATTATTTTGTATGATGAACAAGTGTTGCAACGTTTGCAAGTGAAATCACTAATTAAATTGTTCATTTAAACCACAGGGTGGCGCCACCATCACCACCACCAACATCAACATCATGACCATGACAACCAGCATCATCAACATCGTCATCTTCAACATCAACACCACCACTACCACCATAACTATCACCGCCACCACAATCATCAACATCATCATCACCATCATCACTACCATCATCACCACTACCACAACCATCATAAACATCAACAAGCATAATCACCAGCATAACCACCATCATCAACAAAAACCAACATAACCACCAACAATCACCACTGTCATTAACACCATCACTATCATCATAACCACCACCACCCAAATAATGAACATCAACACAACCAAAATCACCACCACCACCACTACGAGCTCTACCACGTGGTCCCGTGCCGTACCTCTGAGACGAATCTGGTGGTGGCGTTGCTCAGCGTCTTGAGCATGGGCGTTGACTCGGCGTAGAAGAGCGACATTCTGTTCGCCATCTCATTGCTCACCTCCGCCTCCGTGCCAGCCTAGCGCAGGGCATGCGTGGGTAGGGTGCGCAGGGTGGTACAGCGTGGGTATTGTGGGATAAGGATGGTACGCGTGGATGGGGTGGATGGGGTGGGTGGGGTGGGTAGGGTGGTATGCATGGATGGTGTTGGAAGGGGTTATTAGGGTGGTACGCGTGGATGGGGTGGTACGTTTGAGCAAAGTGGTACACGTGGGTATGGTAGGGCAATGGTGGTATACGTGGATATCGTGTGTAGGGTGGTACGCGTGGATAGGGTGGTACGCATGGATAGGGTGGTACGCGTGGATAGGGTGGTACGCGTGGATGGGGTGGGTAGGCTGGTACAGGTGAGCAGAGTGGTACGCATGGGTATGGTGTGGCGAGGGTGTACACGTGGGCGAGGGTGGCATGTGCCATACTCACGTTGCTGTTGGTCATGCGCATGCGACTCAGGGTTCGGCGGTAGAAGCTGAAGTCGTTCTGAACGGATGGGTTTGTCATCTGCAGAGCACACCCCACGGTACACACACCATGGTACACACCATGCACCGTGATACGCACCCTACACACAACACTGTAGATACCCTGCACACGTGAGACACTACGGTACACACCACGGTACACTCTGAACAATGGTAAACGGTGAACTATGTTAAACGGCGATGCATGGTAAACTGCAACCCCGTGGTAAACTGCGACCCGTGGTAAACGCGGTTACCTTGAGTTCATCGAACTGCAGGGTGAAGTGCAGGATCTGAGCGAACTGCTTGGCGAGCGCCTGCTCCCGCTCCAGGTGCTGCACGGGGGTGCAGGGGGGAGCCGTGAGCACTTCCAGCAGCCGCACCATGGCTCGCTCTGGGGGGCAGACGGGGGGGGGGGAGAGACGGGAGAGGGGGGGGGAACTCACGTTAGGGCGGAGAGGGGGGCACGGGACCTCCCCCCCAACCACGCCACCCCACACGTCGCCTAGAAAAATCACTCTAAATTCCACTCCCCGCGTCTGTCCATGTCTCTCCCCGTCTTCTTGCGCCTCCTCTCTGTCTTCCCGTGTCCCTGTGTCTCACTCTCCCCCCATGTCTCCCCGTGTCTCACTCTCCCCCCTTGTCTCCCTGTGTCTCACTCTCCCCCCATGTCTCCCTGTGTCTCACTCTCCCCCTGTGTCTCCCCGTGTCTCACCGTCTCTTCCTGTATGTCCCCGTGTCTCCCCGTGTCTCCCCGTGTCTCCCCGTGTCTCACTCTCTCCCCATGTCTCCCCGTGTCTCCCCGTGTCTCACTCTCCCCCCATGTCTCCCCGTGTCTCACTCTCTCCCCGTGTTTCTCTATTAATCCCCGTTTCATCACGTGTCTCATTGTGTTTTCCCATGTCTCTCTGTGCATCACTCTCCCCCCATGTCTCTCCGTGTCTCACTCTCTCCCCGTGTCCCACTATCTCCCCGTGTCTTTCCGTCTCTTCCTGTATGTCCCCGTGTCTCCCCGTGTCTCCCCGTGTCTCACTCTCTCCCGGCATCTTCTCGTGTCTCCCCGTTTCCCCGTCTCTCTCCGTGCCTCACTCTTCCACCCGGCGTCTCTCCGTGTCCCACTCTCTCCGCGTGTCTCCCCGTGTGTCTCCGCGTGTCTCCCCCGTTGTCGTCTCCCCGTGGCGTCGTCTCACCGAGCTGCACGGAGAACTCGTAGAAGCCCTTGAGTTTGGAGACGAGGGGACACACGGCCGCCCAGACGCGGCTCTGAGCTGCCTCGTCCTCCGGGTGGGAGATCGCCTGGGGGAGGGAGACGCGGGAGACGCGGGAGGGGCGTGGGGGGGACATGGGGGGGGGGGGGCACGTGAGGATATGGCGAGACACGAGGAGACACAAATACATGGGGATACACTGGCACCCATAGTGAGAGGGACAATGAGACGCGGGGATACATGGGGTTGGAACTGTGGGGTCCATGGGTGTGCGCGTAGGGTCTCTGTAGGGGTGTGTAGGGGTCTATCTGGGTGTCTATTGGGGTGTAGGGTTCTGTATAGAGGTCTGGGTAGGGGTGTGTGTGGGGGTCTCTGCAGGTGTGTGTAGAGTTCTGTATATGGGTCTGTGTAGTGGTGTGTGTGTGTGCGCGGTTCTGTGTAGGGGTCCATAATAAGGGTGTTTGGGTTAAATCACGTAAGTATAAATGTGTCATAACCCTCCACCACCCGACACAGCCAATAAGGTTTGTCACGTAAACAACGCGCCAATTAGTTTACTACTTCAGCCCACCGGTGTGCTGGAGAGTAAATCCACAACATTTACAATGTGGGTACCGTGACGTTTCGCTGGTAAGCAGCATCGGGTGATTTACGTCACAAACTTTACTGGCTGTGTCGGGTGGTGGAGGGTTACGAAACACTTATACTTACGGCGATCTAACCCAAAAAACCTTTATTATGAATAATTTTGGTGGCGAAAGCCTCCTGCGTGTTACACCGTGCAGGGGTCTCTGTCGGGGTCTGCGGGGGGTGGCATACCTCCCGTATCTCGCTCCCCGCGCCCGGGTAGTCCCTGAGCTCGGACAGCAGCGTCTCGGCCACCGAGAGAACGGCGTTCACCTCCTCCCAAACGTCGCGCTCCGCCTCGCTCGGCTCCGCGTCTACACAGCACACCACCGCACACCACCGCTCACCACCGCTCACCACCGCATTCCTCACTGCAGTGTCCATAGGGAACCACGCACGCCACGCACCACCACCCACGTTGCACACCGCATGCTGAACCCCGCACTCCACGCACCATGCACCACAAGCACCACACGCAAAACACCTCGCACGGCTGTACACGACTACACACCGCACCATGCACCACACACACCGCACACCACACCACCCACACTGCACATTGCCCCACAACCACTCATCAGATATAACATACCACACCAACACAGGCACAGCAACAACCGCACACCACACCGCCCCACCCCAAGCAGTAACGCGCACACCCACCAGACGACATCACAACACACTGAACCACACAAGACACCTTATGTCCCCCCGTGTGTCCCCCCCCTCCCCCTCCATATCCCCAAGTGTCCCCATGTTCCCGTGTGTCTCTGTGTTACCATGTGCCCACGTGTCCCCGTGTATGTCTGTGTATCCATGTGCCTGTTTGCCCCGGTGTCTGTACCCATGTCCCCGTGTGTCCCCGTGTGTCTCTGTGTTACCATGTACCCACGTGTCCCTTGGTGTCCCTGTATAAGCATTTGTCCCTGGTCTCCACGTGTTCCCCATGCATTCGCTCCTGTATATCCACGTGTCTCTGTGTGTTCCTGTGCGTCCCTGTGTCTTCGTGTGTCCGTGTGTCTCTGTGTGTCCATGTCTGTCCTCACTTGACCCAGTGCCCCTCTATCCCCGTGCCCCCGTGTGTCCCCTCTCACTCTCAAAGTCCAGGAAGAAGTTGGGCCCTTCGTGCTCCAAGTCGGGGCTGTTGAGAACCTTGAGTAGATTCCCCATGATGGAACCTGGAGACATCATCGCCATGAGTATCACCATTCCCACCAACACATCACCATCGCCACACACTCGCCATCGCCACCGCCACACCATCATTATCACCACACCGTTACCACCACAAACATCATCACCATCAAAACAATCACTGCACCATCAGCAGTTGCGGATCCGGTGGGGGGGGAGGCGATGGGTAAGATGCCCCCCCCCCCTTGAGACCCCCGAGATATTGATATTTTATTGATATTTGCCCGAGACATCACATCTCGCTCCACCATCACAATACCCACCATCAGAACACGACACCATTAAAACACCATCATATTATCTTCACTATACCACCACAATCACCATCATCTCACTACACCGTCACTAATACATTACCTACATCAAGCGCTGTTTGCGAGAACCTATGAAGGCTGCACGATGTAAGAGGTGGGGTAGGGCGGTGATGTGTAGTATAACCAGTACCACGTCCGGCCGCCTTCGTCTCCCCAGTAGTGATTGATGCTTACACACCACACTGGGGGTACACATTTCGGGCTGAGTCAACCTAGGAGAGAGGCCCAGGACCATGTTCCGATAAAAATTTCCATTGTAAAGCGTGAACCGGAGTTGAACCCGGTTGGCCACGTTTGTAGTGCGGTGGGAAAACCCCACTGCACACGAAGACAAAGATCCCCCGTATAGCCTCAACAGACTGTTGGGGCAGGTGCTGTTAGCGAACACCTATGAAGGCGGCACAGCACACGAGGGGGTGGGTGACCAGCACCACGGCCGACCGCCTTTATCTCCCCAGGTACAATGAGACACGCACATTCGTACGCTCACGCTGACATAGAGTCGACCCTAGGTGAGGCCCAGGGGCCAGTTCAGATCATCGTCACTGATGTTGATGGTGCAACGTGAGCAGGAATTGAACTTGGGTCGCCAGGTCCACAGCGCAGCGCGTCAACCACTGCGCCACCGCTCTCCACACATACACAAAGACACACCCTTACAGACGTATGCATTCACGTATACATAAATGTACAGAGTACACACAAAGACACGCACACAAACACACTCAGCTGTCAATCATCCCGGAACTGTGCCCACGCGCTCCAGGTGTTTCCTCGCGAGTCACGTGATCACCCGCACCCCTGCCCCTCTCTCCCCCTCCCTTCCTCCTCTCCACTCCACATTAATAGACCAAGACCGCGTCCTCATCGCACGACTGTGCGCGGGTGTGAGTGTGGGAAGCGGTCGTGCAGCGGTTAGCGCGCTGCGCTACGAACCCGCGACCCAAATTCGATTCCAGCTCACGGCCACCAACACCCAGTGACGATTATCTGAACTGGTCCTGGGCCTCCCCTAGGTCGACTCAGCCTCAAATGAGTACCTGGTGCGGTGTCTAATAATCACCAATGGGGAGACAGGCGTGGTTGCTGGCCACCCACCCCTTTGTGTGTCATGCCGCACCTTCATAGGTGACACTCGCTAATGACACTTTTTTTACGTGCGACCTTTGTCTTTGTGTGTGTGCGTGTAATTAGTTTACATGTAGTGTGTGGCACAATGTACCCTTTGGTGTCGGGGTTGGCAACCTGGGGTTCCAGAACCGCATGCGGCTCTTTAAAGACTGCTCCTTCGTGACGTCGCTTAAGAAGCCATCACCTCGAAATCACCCCACATTGCATTGTGTCTCTTGAAATATTGAGGTGTTTGTTTTTTAGCGAATACGAAAAAAAATGGCTCATTGTTATTCTGGTTGCCGACCCCTGCTTTAGTGTGTAGCATTTATGGTGTGCACTAGCGTGTGATGTAAAGTAGTGTGCAGTGTAATGCGTGTGGAAAATAGTGTAATGTTTCGTTTTATAAAGCGTCGTTCATGGAAATTGCATCTCACACGACCCAAAAACCACGAAAAGAACACCCAAAAAGGCTCGTGCTGGAGGCCCCAGCTGGGCAGGCATTATGACGTCTTCCGACCAACCACAAAATCCTACTGCGATTGGCCACGTGGAATGTTCAAACACATTGTGGAGGAGAGGCTGCCTTTCCTGTTGTCGGGAGCTGGGCCGGTACCGTCTGAACCTCTGTGGAATAAAGTAAATCCGAGGGAATGGTTCTGGCTTCGGTCAACATGAGGGGTGGACAGTCCTTCACTCGGGGTTGGAAACTGCCAAACAAATAAGGAGTGGCTCTTCTTTTCGACAAAATAATGGAGGTGGTGTTGTAACGTGGCGGCGAGGTGTGCGAAGCTGCTAAATTCTGGCTCTTGTGGCCTCGCCTCCCCATAAATGAGGCAATGAAGATTCGTGTTGGTGTTTTACGCTTCCACTGAAGATGAACATCAGTGGAGGGATGCAATCAAGAGCTGATGAGTCAGATGCCTTCTATCACGTCCTGACCCAGGTGCCAGGTAAAGCCCGAGTGCGTCTTGGTGGACGCACCTGGGTTGGATTGCTTGTAAGGCATGGGCCATATCAGTTCAATGACAATGGTAGGAGGCTGCTAAACATCTGTACAGCCCATGGACTTGTAATCACAAACAGAAGTTCAACTAATATCATGGATACATGCCATGTCCCAGCAAGAATATCTGTTGGACTATACATTAGTGATGGAACAGATCAGCTCTATGACAATGGTAGGTGGTTGCTAAACATCTGTACAAGCCCATGGGCTTGTAATCACAAACATAAGTTCAACCAATATCATGGATACATGCCAGGTCCTAGCAAGAATATCTGTTGGACTATACATTACAGTGATGGAACAGTGAACCTCGCATGAAGGTGATCTGCCCATTTTTGGCACAGTAGTTGGCACAGTAGAGGGCACAGGTGGTGCATCTGCCAGCTGTCTCAGTCAACCCAAAACCCCTGGGTCTGCTCCGTGACCTGCCAGCAAGCCTTCTACACTTTACGTGGCCTCAAGGTGCACCTGGCCGAGCATAAGCCGCTGTGGTGACGTCACCACCACTGTTGTGAATTCTATATATATAAAATCGCAAATCTGTCTGTCTATCTGTCTGTGTGTGTGTCTGTGTATCGGACCATACGCAGTTTCATTGGACGAAATGTCAGGGATTTGCGAGACACGATTGTTCCGGCGGTTGCCCCTGGCAACGGGTAGCGACGCATTCGCCGCGGGGTGGACGCCATTTCTAATTCCCGTTAAAAATAGGCGCACGCATTAACACGCGACTCTGAGGTAAATTCATCAAAGTTTCACGTCCTCTTCACTCCCCCCCCCACCACAATGTGTGCAATTACTATTATAGGGTCGGTAGATTATAAAATTATAGCGATTAGACAGTATTATTGTAGTGCGGGGGGGGGGGGGGGGGGGGACGGCACCCGTACCCAGCCTCAGCCGGGTGGGCAATTTAGGCGAGGCCGGAGGCTCTGCACGGTACTAGGCCTCGACACCCACCACGCGACTCTGAGGTAAATTCATCAAACTTTCACGTCCTCTTCACTCCCCCGCCACCCCAATGTGTGCAATTACTATTATAGGGTCGGTAGATAATAAAATTATAGCGATTACACAGTATTATTGTAGCGCGGGGGGGGGGGGGGTAACGGCCCCAGTACCCAGCCTCAGCCGGGTGGGCAATTTAGGCGAGGCCGGAGGCTCTGCACGGTACTAGGCCTCGACACCCCACCACACTATAGGCCGTACATACTACTGCACAGCGGCCGAGGAGATCGTGGCTGGGGGGGGCAGGGGTAGCAGCCCATCTGTGTATATATGTAAGGTTATTAAGAAATATATTTTTCACCCGGGCAACGCCGGGTACTTCTGCTAGTTCTGGTGTATGTGTGGGGAGCGATAGTGCAGTGGTCAGTGCACTGCACTGTGAAACTAGCAACCCGAGTTCCATTCCCACTCACGACCAATAACAGTGGCGAATTTCTGAACCGGTCCTGTACCTCATCTAGGTTTACTCAGCCTTAAAGAAAATGAGTACCTGGTGCGGTGTGTAAACATATGCGGTGGGGAAACAAAGGTTGCCGGACGTGGTGTTGACCACCCACCCCCTCGTGTGCCACAGTGCCGGCCTTCACAGGTGCTGCTCGCTAACAGCACTTGCTCCCAACCGTCTGTTAAGGCTACACGGGAAGCTTTGCCTTGTGTGTGCGTGGGTGTGCGGGCAGCTTGTGGATGCGCGGGCTTCCCCGTGCACATGGCGAGAGCTCTCCTGCCGGCTTCCAATTTTATACCGCAGCAGCCCCACGGGGACGTGACGACGAGACGGCGTGATGGTGGCGGTAGGGATGGGGTGGTGACGGTGAAGATAATGATAATGGTGGCGATGGTGGTGATATTGGTAGTGATGATGATGATGATGTTGGTGGTGATGGTGAAAATGATAATGGTGGTGATGGTGATGATATTGGCAGTGATGGGGTAGTGATGGTGATGTTGGTGGTGATGGTGAAAATGATAATGGTCGTGATGGTGATGAAATTGGCAGTGATGGGGTAGTGATGGTGATGATGTTGGTGGTGATGGTGAAAATGGTGAAAATGATTAAATTGATGGTGATGATGATATTGGCAGTGATGGGGTAGTGATGGCGATGATGTTGGTGGTGATGGGATAGTGATGGTGAAGATGGTGATGAGGTAGTTGATGGTGGTGGCAGGGTAGTGATGGTGAAAATGATAATGGTGATGATGATGATATTGGCAGTGATGGGGTAGTGATGGTGATGATGTTGGTGGTGATGGGGTGATGGTGAAGATGATGATAATGATGGTGATGATGGTGGTGGTGGTGGTGGTGATGATATTGGTGGTGATGGGGTAGTGATGGTGAAGATAATTATGATGGTGGTGATTGTGGTGATGATGATGTGTATGGTGATTGTGGTGATGGTGGCTGTGATGGTGGCTGTGATGGTGATGATGATGATAATGGTGGCTGTGATGGTGTAGTGGTTGATCGGAAGGATGATGATGATAGCGACTGGTGGGGTAGTTAATAGGGTTTATTTTTGCGCAGGTAAAACCCATTGGGT